TTACTCTTTAAGTCTCCTTTTGAAGACTTGTCATAGCTTTTTATGTTAATCTATAGTGCACGTGAAGGGGTGTTTTTCTACAGTCCTAATGTGTCCATGTCCATTTGGAAACATAAAACTAAGAACACTTTACTGTAGTATTTAGACAACCTTTGGTATTAGGATTGCACCAATGGTTTGATTCTCATACTGTATACCACATTGCAGTACCTGCATCGACATTTGAACCCTTGATACGTTTTAAATGTATCCAGAGTAGAGCCTTAATCACTTGTCCAATAAGCAAAATAACAGTACATGTTTATTCATATTATTCAACATGAACTTTCCCGCTCTAAAAAAATAAATGTATACTCTTCTGCAAATAAACACAGAATATAAATCTTAAAGACTTGATAAAGGCCAAACTTTGTTCCAAGGATTCTGTTCTTTTGCATGAGCTCAATTTTCAAGCTTCAGTCAACTCAGTTTAACATTACATTAACACAAGCAGTTTTTTTTCATAAAACCATGAAATGTGTTATGGTTTGTTCTCCATTTTACTTAAGAAAAATGGAGCAGAGAAAATGGGAACGTGGTTGTATGCTTCAAGACCTCCTCAGTTGTCATTGCTCCTTTAAAAAATTCTGCTTTCCTCAGAATTAAAAAGTCCTAGTGTGATCTTGTTTTATTTGTAATGGGCACACATGATTTTATAGCTTCATCACAGATAAATTGTACATTGGGAGAATAGACTCCCATCTGGATTATGAGGACATAATTACTTCAAGGAAGAGCAATGCATACCACATGTGCAGGCAATGACCTTAAGAAACATATGAACCCATTTCTGTGAAGATATGTATTAATCTCACTTTTGTGCATGCTCTTTTGTACTGGGGGTCAGTAGAAAATACAGTGGTGATATGCTCTATTCACTCTAAGCAGTGATATAATTCACTCTGCTATAATACAGCATACTGTACAGTAATTAGTTGATTCACTAAATTGTACCATTCACAGACATGCTGTAAACAATCAAATGACAAATATTATGATTCCTGCACACTTTTTCTGTATGCCAGCAAATGGTCTTTCAAAACTCTTTGAACAGGTGCATCATAGCAAATGAAATTGCTTACTAAGGTGCTCTTAAAAATGGAGTTGAATGTGAAGAGTTTTATTTCAGACTGTTTCAAGAAAGCCTGCATCCACTGTCTGTTTCAAAACTGGACTCTGTCTCTTTACTGGTGGATATTCAGTAAAAAACCTGTAAAAATGCTGTATATGCATAGATTTTCAGCACCTTTCAGACAGAATCAGGTTTCCCCATTTCTCCTTGTACAGCATAGCTTATTGACTAAACCAAAGGTAGACCGATTAAAATTTATTCTGTGAAATGTTACATTTGTTTGGTTTATGGAAGCTTGTGATGGCAAAAGAAGAAACAGTACAGTATGTGCATATATTTGTGAGAGGTTACCGAAATTATACATACCCCGTATTCTTATAGACTTCTGATTTCACAATAAAGCTCACTGAATTCTCTGATATAATTTTTCCTTTAAATTGAGCATTAAACTAAAACCAAAATGTTTTTTTGAGAAAGTAAATTTTAAGGCTCAGTGTTTCAGGCTACAGTATGTCACAACACTGATGAACTTGCAGTATGAATGTAGTTTTCCGTATTACCGATGACTATAAAAGAAACTTTCTCCATTTCAACTTGATAAAAAGGTCTGATAAAAACAAAAGAACAAAAAGGGATGTATAAATACTGTACAATACAATAGTGGTACCCTTAATAACAATGACCATTGTCTTGTCTTGATAGACTGTTATGTACTTCATAAGATGCTGTAATCCATTACTTACAAACCTAAATGGGTGCACTCTTACTCACGTTCCTGTCTCTTGCAGTTTAGCTTTGCTCTCACAAAGCAGCCAGCTTGAGTTATCACAATGACAGTGGCTAAATAAGGAATGCCATATTTGCCACCCTTGCAGTATCCCCAATCTGTACAGTAATGGCTTTTTTAGAATAGAGGTTTAATGTGACCTCTGTCTCAGACACCACAGCAAAACACTCAGCGATATTGTGGTAGCAGTATAACAAGCAATAGAGCAGTGTGATAATGCATGTCACTAGCCATGATTTATAAGAGAAAAGCAAATTAAATACATGAGAAAAAATGTTAAAACTATAGATTATGACATAAATGCAAAACAAATTAATTTGAATAATTTAAACCATGTGTACAAAAATAAAAATATTTATTTTTTCCTTCAACTGTATTATCAAAACTTAATTATATTATCGCATTCAATATGTTTATTTGAAGTACTAAATGACTTAAATTGATTTATCTTGTCCTTTTTAGAAAATAATCCCACCCTTCATAGAACATTACTGCTCCATTACATGGTTCAAAGGGTTTGTTATCCTTAGTGAAAAGACAGATTGTCTGGAGGTTAAATTTGTTGGCAAGACAGTCATTAGCCTGTTGAGAGTAAGAGTTGGCATAGCTATTTTTTAGCTTGAGGAAAGGGAAAAGGCCTTTTCTGATATTATGAACACTTATTTGGCTCCAGACACCACTTGTCACAGCCATAATAAGATGTGGTTGTTAGTGTTAATTTCTCACCTTTGACCTTAAGTCTGATATTATGTACTGTAGATCAGCATATAATACTACACCACTCATTCTGTAGACCCAAAGCAATTGTACAAGGATAACAACAAAGAATACTAGGCATGTAAATACTGTAGCTCTTTAATTATGCAAAATAATCACCCTTAGGAAATTAAAATGTATGCCTTGTATAATTGCATATTTTTCCTTGTAAACAGCTGCACATGATGGTTTGCTTTCTTTTGAAGTTTGCTTGGTGTTTAAAATATTAAACATTTCATGAAATATTCAAATTATGCACTGTGTACCTTTTCTGTTTTTCTCCTCTTTTCATGTGGGAAAAACTATTATTATTATTTACATGCAAACTTGGACGTATTATAAAGTCATTCAGTTTAACAAATCTTTGAAAGCATTTTCTCTTCATTCTTCTTATTGTGTGTCTGAAATTCCTTGGCAATCTTCGTCCACTACCAAGTCAGTTCACTCAAATTCAATCCAATCCTTTGTTGGATTTCCAATGATTAATAGATTTTCTTAAGCTCCACTTAGTAGAACTACTTAATTAGTGGTTAAGGAAGGATAAATTGTCTGAAATTTTTACTCAATATATATATTGCATTGAAATTTCTTACCTTTTTATTTTGACTTGTTATAGGCAGTACACCCACATCTTCCCTACTATGTTTTTTTTTTTTCACACAGGCAATGAACAGTAGGGTGAATGATGATGATTCAATGGAGCAAAATGGCATGATCTTGACAACTTGCTTGTAAGTTGATGCCCTCTAGTGGAAGTCAGTTGGATAATGGAGATGACCTTTGTTTTTTGCACTTCTCCTGAAATTCTGTTGCATTTCTTCAGGCTAAATCTTGTTTTAAAATATAGCAGGAGTAAATTCAGAATCCTACAGTATATAGCTATTATACTCATTCTCATAGAATACTAATATGCTGGTGGTAAAGTCAACACAAATTACAAAGTCATTTGTGTTGACTTTACCACCAGCATTCCTGAATATATCAGTTTTAAAACAAAGCACAAGCTGGGGTTTCAAGCCGGCTGCATCAGATGCAAATACAGTGTGCCAGTTGCAAATACACCAGTGTGGCTATGGGACTACACTTTGGGTTTAACAATTGGGTTAAACAATTCAACTGTCTTTGGAACAAATAGAATTTCAATGAATTTATAAGGTGCAATGTATCAGCTACCTCTATATTTAGCTAGACTACTGGTATCAAGTGCCTATATTCAGTATATGGCTCTACTGATTAAGATGACTACTGGTACTAATTCTAAGATGGCTCTTTAGATTAAATTGGGAGATGTGTATCTTTGTTTACAATTAGAACCAGTGTGGAATATTACAAATATTTCATTATTGAAATGTGAGTCACAGATTAATGTGACTTTAAAGCTTGGTTTAAATGAATACAATTGTAGCATTCAGTATCTGTTTGCACCATCTTTGTCTAATAATTGTAGTTTTGTTCAGATAAAAAAAGGTTCTGGCATGGGGAGAATGTCTCAAGAGACTGAGATCTGTCTTCAGATTGTCCTTCACAGAACATATCTGTAACTATGCCTGGTGAAAAGGATTCTTCATCCTTGTCAAGGCTAATGTAAACACAAGCAGTGGTGTAATACTAACAGAAGGATTAATACAGAGGCAGAAAACAGCATGCTGATTTAATGCCATATGGGAATGATTGTTATTCATATGCTCTATGACGCCAGTACTAAGAAACTGTAATAACAAAAGGTTACATTTTCTAACTTACTACAACAAAAACAATAATAATCTCTTTCTAGTCAGGTGTAGTCAGCTTCTCTCGCAGTTGCACATCTACATATGTTGATGGTACTGATGATGTATTGTTGATTTAGTAAATTTTCATTTCAGCAGCCCTGCAAACTAAGATCAATAATGTTACAGTGAAGTAATATCAGATTGTATATATCAACTATTATTGCTTGTTATACTATATTATTATGCCTAAGTGAACACCAATATGCTTAAATATTATTGATCTACAGTATATACAACTGTTACTGTTAGCACAAAAAAAAATCATAATATCAATAAGGGTCAAAGTAAATGAACTTCAGTTTTCAGCGAATTCTTAGCAGTACTGTATATTGTTTGAAACACCTTATTTCTAAACAGAAACAATGAGGAGAAATGTAGCTTACACTTTTTAAGAAACTATACAAATCTTTTTGTACAGTATGTTTCAGCAGTAGAAAAATAATCTTGTGATTCAAAAATGGATATTTAATCCGATGCTGTTGAATATGCCCACTTAATACCACAGAACGCTCTTGTGAGTGTGCCCGTGATTCATGTGCTAATTGTAAGGATGCTTTTGGGAATATAGCGGAGAGGCACTGTACTTCCTGATTAATGTCAGCGAGGAGACTCAGTGGTGCTCAGTGGATAGCAGTTAAGCATCAAATCCCAGCTGAGAAAATAGTTCCATTATCTCCCAGCTGCATAGACAACCCATAAGGGCCTGTTCTGCTTGGTTGATCGGTGCGGTGAAAGCAGTGACTCGCTGAGAGAGTGATCGTCTGCTTGTTTTGCTCTGAATTGGAGGAGAAAACTGATGTATTTTTGTAAGTACTGTACGTCTTCTGTACTTCCTAGTGGTGGTTTGTACCATGTGAACCCAGCTTTGCAAACTGTGTGATTATCCTTTTTTATTGTGTGGAGGAAAAGAGGTTCGTGTAGATCTTGTGAGTAAGATACTGTATGTTTATGATTGCCGATGTTGTTTACTGACTTGCCTACAGATGTACAGTAATTGGTTTTAAGTAGGAATACGAGTCGTGAGTCGCGTTATTTTTTCAGCAGGTTGTGTTGCGCCGACTTTTTGAACATGACACAATTTAAATTACACTTTATTCAGATGACAAAGGAGCTCAGTCAACGTTGTGGTCAAACCTTCCAAACTGGAAACAGTTGTAGTTAAAAAAAATAGTAAGGATTTTTATGATAACAGAAATCAGTGGTGAGCTGTTTTCGGATAAGATTATTAACCAAGCTTAATTTTATAACGCTATTTTCAAGGTAGTGTCTAAAAACTTATTTGTACTATAGTTTAAGCGTGCCGTGCTGTTAATTGATGTTTATTATATGCAATTTCGCTAACTTGATCTGAGCTGTGAATGCTCAGCTCAAAAGAACGCAAACTTTTCTGAAGCATTGATATGGGTAACCCTGGCGTTCCTGGTATTGTGCTAAGAAAGACGGAGAAACTTAATCGCCTTTCATTTTAATTGCCAGGTGAGAAATACTCGATTAAAGATCGACACTGACTCTTAGGATTCTTGTACTTTAACATCTTAATTAATGTATATTATTGAGCAACCATGTTTTATAAAGAAAGTGCCATGTGATCTTCCGTACTGATGCTCTCGGGATTCCCCAGTGTAAGTGTGAGTGATTTATTTTGTAAATGCGTTCAGAAGGAAGGGGATACAGTAACATTTTTCATTTACATAAGATCTTCGCATTTTTTTCAAGACCTTTCTGCAACCAGTAAACTATAACAGCTGTGCTGAACTACATCCGTGCAGATGTTTGTTAATCCATGCTTTGACTGGCTCTATCAGATAATCTTTGTGGATTATATTTAAATATAGTTGACCACAAGACCTGTCAGAGTCCAAGTCCTGTCACTTCTACCCCTATTGATGCTGGTTTGTTAGGTGCTGACTGCAAAAATGTAAATAAATGATACACCCTATAAATTGGTTTTCTCTTCTCCGAAACGTAAATATCACCTTAGATTTCACAACAATTTCTCGACTGTCATTTTCCTCTAAATTTACAGTTTGCAAGAGGAAAAAAACAACAAGATTTGGTTTTAAAATGTTGTAATGTTAATAAAAGCCTGCAAATCTGGCCCAGTAGGGCTGCCAGTCTTTATCCAACAGTAAACAACAGAGGGTAGGAATTATCAAAAGCCTAGCATCTGTCCTATGGTTTTCCACCCTGACTTGCCATGTTATTTGATCCAGAGGGTCAGAATGGCAGATGTGCACTGTACAGTTGTGCTAGATGTTCGTAAGAACGATGTTAACCCCACTGCACTCTGTTGTGTGGTTACATTATTATTACTATTATTATTTCACTTGAAGTTTGTGTTATAAGGGTCAGATAGATTACGTCATTATTCAGATGTTTTATTTTTGTTTTTATTAACTATCCCTTTTCAGTTCAAATGAAGCTTTCTCATTAGACCTTAATCAACAAGTCAGGATCTCGAATACTCTATGAATGTTAAAAACCTCCTGATCCCATAATATAGTAATCTGAATGCGTCCCATGGACATAAAAACATATGAAACACAACAAAACACGTTACATTTAGTAGCTCATCTTGTGTGTTCAGGAGGGATACATTTTGAGAGACAATATATTTAATAATGAATTTCCTGCTTTTTCTATAATGTCTATTTATATAATTTCATGCAGCTATGAATATTTCATACAATTAGAATTATTAAAAGTCAGTGTAACAGAAATATGCATAAGTGGCCTTATTAGAGCCACGCCATGCATCTGTGATGTTAATTTATTTTAGCCTCATTGAACGTGGCAGTGCAATTATTGCAAAATGAGTTTCTTAATTAACCCACCTGTTTTCCTTTTGTTATAATGGAAGAACAATATCAGTCCTTGCAGTTTTCTTGTGTAACTTTTGCAGGTGTTCATAGTTAATTGTACCTGTACTACTTTATTTCACAAAAGCAAATATGTCATTCATTGATTAAATATTGTAAACCTATAACCCCTGGATTACTTTTAACATAGTTTAATGGTCTATGGTAAATGTTGGTATATCAGTGGAAATGATAACTCCCATTAAGCAAATACAAAAGTGTTTGGGAAGCTGTTGTGTGTATAGTGGTGCCATGTTAGGGACTATCAAGGATGACTTGTGTATACCACCACTCTTATCTTGTCACATGGAAGAACTTTCCTTACCCTCAACTCTTTCTCCTTGTTAAATTGTTCTGTTGGTCTCCCTAGAAGGAGAAGGCATCAGAATGAAACTTCAGCAGGGGTAGTATGCTCAACAGTTACTAGACATGGCAGTATGGTCACAGTTGCAAAACAAACTCGGCAAAGCCTGGGCAGTACAAGCTGGTGTCAGGGGAGAACTCAGTGTCAGCAGGTAGATCTTCCGGTAGTCTGAGATGGTTTTGAATAACTCTGTGTCATTTCTGCCTTCATTGAGTTAGCCATCAAGGAGCCTTTAGTTTGCAGTTAAGTAATTATGGAGGTCAAGAAGTCAACATAACATTCATTTCTGTCTTGAGTTTGATTTGGACTTCTCAGAATAATATGAGCATTGCATTGCACATAAAGCAGAGTTAAATCCATGCAATGGTTTCTGTGTTTAACACATAGTGGTCTGCATGGCCTCTTTACTCTTGCTGTTTTTATCCTGATAGTAGAAGTCAGAGTAATCCATTTCATAGGAACATAGAAAATACTACAATGCTGTTGTCCTACACCCTGTCAGAAGTGATATAGTGTAAAAGTGGCATTTAAATGAATCCAGGCCAGTAACCTTTTGAGACATGGCATAAAAATTTCATTGGATAGCTTCTATTAAAACGAATGAAAATAATGTCACCACTGATATTTTTTCAGAGAAGTCAGTACTGTATGTGGCCTCAGAGGTGACATTTTCAAAGGTAAATTTGAGCAATACTGTATATTAAATGTTACAAATGTTACTGATCACATTTTGGTCAGTTAGGAAATAAATAAATTCCCTATATACAGCTATCTATATTTATAACAACATTGAAACTTTAGCAGCAAGTGAATACTATATGAAAATGGTATTACAGTATATCTTTGAGCACAAAGTAGGAGTCAGCCAGCACACTTGATACAGTGGTTTGCTAGTTACAAAAAGGTCTGGAGTTTAGTCCCTGCTGCTCTATCCACATTAACGTGTTACGTGGGCTAAGTTATGGCCTCTTCAGGCCACTTCAGCAGGATTAAGATAATAAATCATAGATTATTGTTGACTACAAATACTGAAATTAAATTCAGGAAATTACCATGTGTTTTTGCTAAAAAAAAAGCTACCAGTATTCCTTGGCTAACACTTGTATTGTGGCACATCACCAGAAAGCACCTCTGTGGTAAGCCTCTGTGGGTGTCACCAGTGAAAACTGTGAACTAAGTAGATGGAAGGATCTCCCAAATTAGCTTACTTTTATTTTTATCTTCAAGAACAAGGACTGATCCAATTTTAGTAACAGAACCTTTCCTGTGACATACTGTATGCAGTATGTTCAGTGTATTATCTTTTTCGCATTACCTTTTATTGTTGGTACTTTGCTGCTGTTAAGATGAGTGGCCTGTTTTATTTTTGACAAAAGTACATACTGCTCATACTGTTCTGTTCTGTGCTGCAGAGCATGCTTTTACTCGTTTTCAGCTGAAAAGCCATATGGCTGAAGGCTGAAAAGTAATATGGAAATATGTAATTTTTAGTTCTGAATTTCAAAGTTAAATTCACTTAAATTAGCTTTCCTAAATGTGTTAAATGCAACATAAAAGAATGAAACTGATCCATTATGTAATTTTAACATGAGAGCATGCTTTCCAGGCTTCTAGATGATTACGGTTCTCTGTGTAGCAGGGAAATAGGAGACAGGTTTATTGGTAAAGAAAAAACAACCAAAAGTACAGGATCTTAAAACTCAAACTTTACTTTTTTTTACTAGTTTAACTAGCTTTGACGCTTAGGATATGTATTATTTTTTGCAACATTTCTATTGTTGTGTGGGTTTTCTGATATCAGGATTTTCATCTGACAGTCTCAGTCAGAGTAACCTCTTTCCATTGGCCTTGTATAGACTCCCCGTGGTTGTACACTGTGAACATCACTCTGTGCTGCCTGCAAGTTCTTTTCAATTGAAAGTGTGTGGGTAGCACTACCAAATGGAAAGGAACAGAGAGAAATATCCTGGGAAGAATGTTAATTAATGTTAATTACATGTTTGTAGAAATAGCATTTGTGGAGGATAGGTTTTTCATTGTAGCTACATACAAGCCTAGCGTTCACTGCTACTGTTCTCGTACTGTGAAAGATGCAAAGAAAATGGTTTAAGAAGCTGCAAATAAAGACAAATGCTATGTGTCATTTTTTTCAGCACTAGTAAAATAGTGTCTGCTTTTTGCTGCACTCTGCTGGTTTTTAAAAGTAAGGAATGCAATGTGATTTTTCAAAACATCATTATGGGTGAAGAAACTGTGTGAGCCTGAGACAGACTTTTGCCTTCACACAGACAAGAGCATCTAAGCCTACTGTGACATATTAAGATCATTTTTCTCTGCTGAGAACTTATAGAGTTTATTTCAGAATCCCTTAGTGGGGCCTGACAGCATGTTAGAGCTGACATATGTTATGTTGTGCCTCCAGGATGTATTCTGTGATCTAAGCACCATTAGTCTTATTGTTAAGGTCTATTGTTTGGATTCTAAAGTATTCTCCAGACCCTTGACTATACAGGTAATTACATTTTACTGCATTAATTAAAAAAAGATGCATTGATGTACAGCACAAGTAAAATGATAAATCAAC